CGCGCTAGGGTCGCACAACAGCTTATTGGTTCTGCTGCATGTTATTGTAGCCACAAATCATATTCCATGTTGCACACGAGTTTAAAAGCTGCATGCTGGATCTAAGACTTTACGTAAAAGTGATCGCGCCTGCCAGGTGCTAAAACGAAGTAGATCCCATAAATAATACGGCACATCCATCTTTGAACATATCTACATGCGATCCCCCACTCCTGCTTAAGCTCCACTAACATGCTCACGTTTTAGGCCCTTGCCAGCGCGGTAGTGCTCATCCTGTTTGCCCGCTAGGCTTAGGATAAGGACTGCAGCGTGATCCCTGGTTGAGGGCTCAGAATTTTGGGTTTGCCGCAGTATTGGCCGCACTTAGTCAAGAAAAACGTGAATCAGCCCCGCCATACTTCACCTTACCCTCACGCACATGTGATCTACCTCCCTCTTGCGGCTTTCACCTGGTTCAGATCTGGGGTAATCCCACTATTCGATTTTTCATAAGCAAGTCTATAGTTAAAAAGTCATCTGAAGCCGCTAGCATGAGTGTTTTTGCTAGATCCTGGATGTGTAGCAAGCTTTGTTAATTATGGGAAGGGGTGTAGGTTGTATGGATCCCAAGGGATTTGGCTGGAAGATGCTACACTTACTACAAGCCCGCTTTGCAAATCCTATCAGTACACGCCATACATCTCGCCTCAAACTTTGCCTAAATTGTTAACCCTAACCAGAAACCGCGAACCCTAAACCCTGAAATGGATTCGACAGCTCGCTGCAAGATAGGCTCTGCCGGCGCATAGGTTACGGCAGCATGCTCACCACCTGGCCATGCGTTGGATGCGCATCGGTAATTTCCCGAGCTACCCCTGAACAAAGAACAGCAAAGAAGGGAAGTTCTCAAAATGGGAATACCCTCCAGTTAGGAGCCCTTGCATGCTTTGGGCCCTGGTTTCCAGGGCCCAAAGCATGTAAGGGCTCCTGAGTAGTTGATAAGGGTCCTCCTTGAGCAGTCGTCATTGGGAGAACTCTCAAAATGAATTTGGTTTGGCAACTTCGGCTTTCTGGGCCTGGGAAGCCTGGCACTTTATTCTTTGTGGTAGCCTTTCGGGGCTGTCATGCGTGTGTGTGGGTGTGGGTGTGTGGGTGTGTGGGTGTGTGGGTGTGTGTGTGTGTACACCCTAATGCTGAGTTAAGGGTTGCTGGATGTCAACAGCAGCTCCCTGGGCGGGTCCCCTTAAGGTCCCTGAGGCACCCATAGACGACGACGGTGACGACGACGACCACAATTTACCCGTAAGATTTTATCTTCCCCTGAAGGCCCACGAGCAAACAAAATTTTAGGTCCTCCTCTTCTTTGTGAAAATGTTGGACATTCCCTTACAATGGACGAACACGGACTTCATGGAGTCGTCGAAAGGCAGTATAGGATGTCGTACCCTCTCCCATCATCAAAGTTTTGTCAGTATGCACGTCACTGAGCAGAACTGGGGCTAGAAGGTGTTACGGTTTAAAGCTTGGGGTTGAGGCTCTTGCTGCACGTCAGGCCCTGAATCCAAAATTCGAACATGAACCCTGAGCGGTAAACCCACCCCCCAACCCTACCCTCCCCTCAAACCAACGTGGAACATCATGTGTCCTTTTGAAAGGACATTGTGCTCTTAGGGCCCTTGTGAGCTTGCATAGTTGCTGAGAAAGTCCAAAGGTCACAGCCTGCCACCACCAGCATGTCCACCAGCATGCCAGGGATGTGAACACGCCGGGCATCCAGCGATCCGTGTGGGACAACCTGTTGCACCTGGACCACCACCTGACTGATGAAATTGAAGGGCCAAAGGTTCAGCTCTGGGATTCAGTTTCAACGAAATCTGGGCTCTTGGATGGAAGCCCAGTAGCCTGGTACGTTAGCTTAGAAGCGTCTAGGGTCCATGCTACCCCAAACCAAAAGTTTCATCAGGGAGCTGCCAATTCCCCCCTTCCGGTGGAAGTCCGGCAAGGAATTCCCATCGACTGTGTGGGAACCTTCTTGCGCTCCCCCACAAACAGTTCGGGTTTGCTGAAAACTTTCTTGCGGTTCTAAGGCAGGTGTGGTCTGTGATCAGGCCACTTTCTATCCCTTGGGCTCCTGTGCCCAGGCACATCTGCAAAGCCCAATGCGCAGAATAGCTCAACATTCCCGTGCCCTTATCTACCCCCAAAACAATCCTTGGCCCAAGAAAAAAGAGCCAGTGTTGATGAGCAAGCGCGCTAAATACCGTAACCTTCAACCCACTCCAAAAAGTGAAAGTAGTGCAGAAAAGCCTTCAGAAGTGGACCGCCCTCTCCATCAGCAAGATGGTGTTCGTCACAAGTGATACGGTGGTTGAACAAGACAATATGATACTTTTCCTATAAAAGCTAGGGCCAGAAGGAGAAACAAAGACTTACTTCAAATGGGGGGCTATAACATCCCTCTACAAAATGATCCCTTCCCCTCTCCTCCTCCGGTATTCAACCCTGTCTCCCACCCTTGCTTATTGAGCTTCTCAACGTAGTATAGCCTTAATATAAAGACGTTAGTAAAAGGGAACACAGCATGCCTATTCAAAAGACTGCTCAGCAGCGTGTCGCTGGGCCGAGATACAAGGCCACCATTGTTCTTCGCAGCCATGGCTTGATTCAAGGAGTCCAGGAACCTTGGTGTCTGGGGGCTTTCGAGGATGGGGGGCATTGGGCCTAAGGGTTTGGGATTGAAGGTTTAAGGCTTACCCTCCGCGATTAATTAACGCAACCCTAAAAAAGTCTATGCAGACTGTCCTTCTGAAGTGGGGGCAGTATAGGATGCCATGTCATGGTTGAATTGGGGAATTGTAGGTTTCCCGGCCGTCTCCCCCAGAACAAAAGAGGCAACTTTCTGGGAAGCTGTCCTTCTAAACCTCAAAGCAACCACTTCGAAACCCATAAAGCCTAACCCCGCCTCCTCAAACTCTGAGGCATCAACGCCAAACCCCTAGCCCCCAACACAAGACTTGAAGGCCAAATCCCAAATACTTCAATCTCCATCCCAGAACCCCGATCCTAAGCCGAAAGCCGTGAAAAATAAACCCATAAACCCTCACACTTCCTCATGCTTGGTTGGGAATGCATTGATCCATCGAAAAGGTTTTTGCAGGCATTCCACCATTTCTAACCCAAGACAGTCAGAACTAAACTGGCCCTAAACCCTGAATTCTGAGGCCTGAACTTCAAACCTCGGACCCCAGACTCTAACTAAGTCCTAGACCTGAAATCCTAAACCCATAGGCCTACACCCTCAGCGCCCACATCCCCAAACCCTGCACCCTCAAACCTTCGCCCTGAACCCTACACCATCAGCCCGGTACACTCCCGCACCCCATACTCTCAAACCCTCCATCTCCACCCTTAAACCCCCTGCCCTAAGCTGTAAACTTTATCTTCTAAGGAGATGCTGATTACCCCACAACCTCTATAACAAGGGACTAGAACGATCTGACTGCAATGAGGTGATTTTAGGGGTTGTGGTACCAAAAAACTAATCCCTAAACCCTCAACCTTGCTATTCTCAGCTGTGGCGCAGAGGCTCCCTCTCAAAGGACACGTTGCCGGCTTCATCTGCAATGGAGCCGCGAAGAAGGGCCACAGTGATCCTTTCATGGGCTTAGGGTCACCAGGGCTCTTCGCCAGCTCACTATATATAATACACACAAGGAGACTTCTACATGCATATAGACGATCTACTTGGATAGATGGGTAAACAAATATATGTATGGAGACACACATGTGTGTACGTACGTGTGTGCAAATTCATGTCGCTAGATATAGGCTTCGGTTTTGGGGGCTTCAAGGCTTTTGCCATGTGCATAGCTCACGGACAGCGTAAGCTCTCATTCCGGTAGAGGGGTTTGGGGCTTGGGGCTTAGGATTGGGGTTTAAGGTCTATGATGAACTTAGGTTGTTTTAGGTCCGGGAGGCTTAAGGCTTTAAGACGCGCGCGCATCACAAAAAGCAGCCACAGGGGTCTAGGGGGTCGAGGCTTGGGGTCTAAAGCTTTTTTTCCGATTGTGAAGGGCTCTCTGAGGATTGCTCTGCCTTTTCAGCTCTTTACTAGCTTGTGCTTGAGGCAGGAAAAAAAGGGAGTAAAGGGAGTTTTCTAAAGGATCACCCGATGTTGTTGGATTTGAGTCAACAAGAACTGAAAGTGATGCTCAGGTTTGTGGATTTTGTGATTTGTGGCTTTGGGGCACAACGGGAACGGCTGAATAGACGTGGACTTAGGATTTGTGGTTTCGGAGTGGCAGTATACATGCATAGACATGGCTTCGGGCGCACACTATGACAGATCTGAATGCAAGGATAGTGCCGGAGTGTGCCTACATGGCCCCCCAAATGGGGGAACTTGTGCCAGAAACAAACATGGGGACCTGGGCTATGCAAGGAATCCCAAGGACCATACCGGCAATGCCTCGGTACAGTCATGCCGCGGCACTTCATGGGCACACGAGTTGGAGATGGACCCCAAGTAGTGTAGGAGCCTTGATAATCAGAATATGAACTTTTTTCTAAACTCCTAGTATCCACCTTATTAATAACCCCTGTAATACTCCCCTACACGATCACGTATATAACCCCCTTGAAGGAGTTTAGACCATAGACAATAGCTCATGTTATGGTGTTGGGGTGAAATTAAAGTGTACTAGACTTATGCTAGGATTATCAGGCAATAGTTTGTACACACTTGATTGTTCCAGCTTCTGTAGGATCCCACACTCACACGCCCAGTCAAACTCGAGTGGTGCAGGAGGCGGCGTTTGGGCCACAAGACGAGGAGCTTCTTTGAAGGGCCATAATCCGCTTCCAAATATTCAGACCCCATGCCCCCATGATAATGAATTTCCCCATGTACTACCCTTATAGACAAACCCTACACCCTAAACACTTATAGAATATTCAGAGCCAAAGGTTCAAGTTCACCCTAAACCCGTAGCCCTCTGTAGGGAGGTTCTCTGCCAGGTCTCTTCGGCGCAGGGTAGAAAATGTACTCCTCCGAACCCATCTCCACAATCTTGACGAGGTCCTAGCAGATTTTCGCTGCAAGTTGCTTAGACTTCAGGTTTCAGGGCTTAAGTCCTGGCAGATCGCAACTGCTTCGTCTGCAATGCACCACTCGCAAAGGCAATACCTTATGGCCGGCCCACACTAGCAGAGCCTCGTGAGCCTTCCAGCCCAACATACGCGTCTCCAGAACCCAAAATGAGGGACTGCTCTTGCATAATGGGCCAAACCTAGACAGTAGCGGAACATGAAGCAACAACAAACAGAAGCTGGAACGGCCGACACATGGCAAAGCAATCGAGTGCAATTCAACCTTAATGGAAGTTGCCACGCAGTCGTGCCTTGAGTTGGTCCTACCTAGCGCGACAAGCTAGACTCCATCTGCTGGAGCCTCGACTGTCTGCTTGTTGCGCTTGCCGCCGCCATTTCGCGGATCTGCGAAAGTGTGTAGGCCAACCTTGCTGAGATGGCCGGGTACCTCAGGGCGTCAGTGTGGCTACAATTTGCTAACGAAAGATTGGGGCTTGTGATTTGGGTGGATTCAGGGACACAGAGTTCCTTGTTTTCACAAACTAGGGCATATAGGATGGCTAAGCATGTGAACACTCGGCCTTGTTGTGTTGCGGCACCAAATTCAAGGCGGAGAACCCAACCGTCAAACTCATCCTCCTATGCGACACTACGGACTACATGACACTGTACTGCTCAGCAAATCCCAGCTTCCTTCTTTGTTCATTTGATTCTCCGCTTTTGGGATAATACCTCTAAACCCTATATTCCCAATAATATACCCTAGATGCTACATGCAGTAGAAACCTCCTTCTATACAAGAGGCACATGCTCCGGGAAAGATGTCATGCGCTCAAGACCAATGATTCCAATTGCCATCCAACGTGGAACGCATTGGGAACGCTACGTATGATCAGACTGCAGGGTGTTGAGTGAAACCCAACTTCAGCTTGAAATCATCCTCTACTCATCCAATCTCCATACACAAGCATATCAGCACGCCCCAAAAGAACCCTTGTTACGGCAGCACATCAAACTGCAACGTGAGACGAAGACTTAACCGATGTCCGCCAAGTTTTGCGCACCATGGAGCCGGTTTGGGTTTGCCTGTGTCCCTTTTTCTGGTCCCAAGGCTGGTATTTGGGTTCTGCATGATGTCTAGCAAGGGGTTTGGGCTAGGAGTGGGGTGCACGGCGCGCCAGGTTGGAACATTGGTATGGCCTTTCTCCCCAAATTAGTCTCGGCCTGTCCTTGATAGAGGGAACCCGGACGTTCCTGCAAAATCGTTACATCCATTCCCTTCCCTAAGCGGGATATAGAGCATGTTCATAGTGCCGGCAAGAGGCTCGGTTGGCAGAGGAGCGGATCATGTGAGAGATTTGGCCTAGGCGGATTGATGCAGATTTAATCTTTCACGCCCATGCTGACATTTCCTGAAAATTTCGATCATACAGATTCCCTAGGCTGACCCTGTTTTGAGAGACCCGCCGTCCTGGTGAGGAAACATTGGACCCAACACAGACGTAACCTCCCGGGCCCAAGTCATCATGAGAGCCACAGTGCTCAACAACTCCATCTGAATGAGAAAGTGAGGGAGCATAAGGATCTGTGGGCAAGCATGATTGGCGATTTGAATTCCCATTATATCTGCGAGCTGCCCTGCTGGACCTAACGCCGCACATGATAGCGCTGAGTCCACGAAGGATGTCAAATCCGCGCAGCCCTCTCATAAAACTTATCACGCCCTCACTAACTCAACAAGATTCCCACAAGAAGCCCCTGGTCATCTCGCCGTTTCTCACATATGAGCTATAATCTGAACTC